GGTAAAAATAAGCACACAGTCAAATTCAGAATACCTCAATACTGTAATGATGGTATGTAAATAACTTATATTTTGAGTATGAAGATTAAAAGATAAAATGAATATATAGCTGCAATAATTTGTTAAGGGACGATACACAATATAAAAAGGTATAAATTGTGACATCAAAAATTTAAAATGGGGGACAAGGTGGAGTAAAAGTGCAGAATTTTTTATGTGGTCAAAATTAAGCTGTTAACAGTTTAAAATATCTTGTTACAATTATAAGATATTATAACTATAAGATGTTTTTTGTAAGCCTCATGGTAACCAAAAGGCAAAAACTATAGTAGATACATAAAAGATAAAAAGTAAGAAATCAAAGCATACCACTAGAAAAAAAATCACTTAATCATGAATACAGTAAGAGAGGAGGAAAGGATCAAAGGATCTACAAAACAACTAGAAAACAATTTTTAAAATAGCAGTAGTAAGTTCTTATGTATCAACAATTACCTTGAATGAAAATGGATTAAATTGTCCAATCAGAAGACATAAAATGGCTGAATGGATGAAAAATGAAGACCCAATTATATGTTGCCTATAAGAGACCCCTTCATCTGTAATCACACACACAAACTGAAAGTGAAGGGATATACAAAAAATATTCCATGCAAATAGAAATAAAAAGAGAATAGTAGTAAATATATTTATATACTCATATAAGATTTTAAGTCAAAACCTGTAAAATGAGATAAAGCATTATATAGTGATAAAGGGATCAATTCATCAAGAGGATATAACAATTATAAATATATATGCACCCAACATCAAAGCACCTAACTATATAAGGCAAATATTAATAGATCTGAAGAGAGAGAGGTTGTAATACAACAGTAATAGCAGACTTCAATACCCCACTTTCAGTAATGGACAGATTATCCAGACAGAAAATCAATAATAAAACATCAAGCTTAAGACTAAATGGACTTAACAGACATATACAGTACATACCTTCTGACGACAGCAGAATACACATTTTTCTCAAGTGCCATGAAACATTCTCCAGGATAGATCCTATGTTTGGCTACAAAACAAGTCTTAACAAATTCAAGAAGATTAAACCAAAACAAATATCTTTTCCAACCACAATGATATGAAACTAGAAATTAACAATGGGAGGGATTTTGGAAAATTTACAAATATAGAGAAATTAAATAACATGCTCCTGAACAACCAATGGGTTAGTGAAGAAATTAAAAGGGAAATTTAAAAATACATGGAATCAAACAAAAATGAAAACACATGTACCAAAGCTTATGGGATGCAGCAAAAGAAGTTCAAGGGGGGAAGTTTATAGCAATAAGCACATCAAAAAAAAAAAAAATCCCAGATAAACAACCTAACTGTGCACCTCAAGAAACTGGAAAAACAAAAGCAAACTAAAGTCAAAGTTAGCAAAAGTAAGGAAATGATAAAGATCAGACAGAAATAAATGAATTAGAGAGTAGAAAAACAATAGAAAAGATCAACAAAACTAAGAATTGGTTTTTTGAAAAGGTAAACAAAGTCGACAAACCTTTAGCTAGACTAAGAGAGAAAACTCAAAAAAATAAAATCAGAAGTGAAAGAGGAAACATTACAATTGATACCATATAAACAGAAAGGATCATAAGAGACTACTATGAATAATTCTATGTCATCAAATTGAATAACGTAGAAGAAATAGATAAAATCGGAGGCACATACAACCTACCAAGACTCAATGATGAAGAAACAGAAAATCCGAACAGACCAATAATCAGTGGGTTAAGAAATCATGAGGGCAAGGGATTTGGAACTTTACAGAGCAGGGGTTCCCAACCTTTGGTGAGTTGTGTAATTATTTCATTCTATATCACAATGTAATATGATAGAAATAAAATGCACAACAAATGTCATGCGCTTGAATCGTTCTGAAACCATCACTGGGATTTCCTGTCTGTGGAAAAATTGTCTTCCCTGAAAAGGGTCCCTGGTGCCAAAGATTGGGGACCTCTGTCATAGAGCATTGTACGTTATTCCCTCAGTTTTAACAAGTAGAAAGAAAAGTTAGTGGCTTATACAGAGATTGAACCCGCAACTTTGGTGTTATTAGCACTACACTCCAACCAGCTGAGTTAACCAGCCACTGATGTTAGCCCCCCCCTTTTTTTTGTCATGTTCTGAAAAAGTCAAATGTGTCAATGGAAATCCCTGGGGTATAAAGAATTTTTTTTTTGTACTACTTTCTATCTTTAATTAAAAGAGTGAGAAACTTTCTCTTAAAAACAAAACAAAAGATAAAAACACTGATTTCTAAGGCGTATTTGTACACTTCAAACAGTTCGACGATTAAACTTTTCAAACTGGGCTAATGGCCCAGGAATCCATGGAAATACTTGCTGCTCTCTAAATGCCTGGTAAGTACTACGTGCATACTGTCACACTCCGTGAACTACTACTACCGAGTCCTTGCTTCGTAAGACCCACTCACTAACAGAGCATACATGCTGGTGCCTGAAGGATACTCCCAACAGGTCTTAGTCTCGATTGTCCCCGAGTCTCCCAGGTTTCTTATGCCCACCTCCAGGCCCAGACATGGTGACTCTTCTGGAATCTTCCTATCTACCTGTTGCCTCACATTTCCAGAGTGACCTCAAACCGAAGATCACTTCAGAGACCTTGGTACTGGTAAGTTCTAGAAATGTCCCCATCCCAGAGGCTGTTAAACCCAAAGACCTTGATATTGGTAAGTTCTAGAAATGTCACCATCCTAGAGGCCATTAAACCCAATCTTTCTGGCAGTCCAATTTTGCTACCCAGTCTTTATTCCCCCCAAAGTGTTACCATTGTTTTAATAATATCTTGTGCACGGTTCCAGAAATTTTAAATACATAAACAAAGTTATACAAGTATGTTTTCTTTTTTTTTCACAGATAGTGGCATTTTATCCACATTTCTTCTGTTCCTTTCAATTTTTTTTTTACCTAGAACATATTTTTGCGATCTTTCCATATGAAAACATAAAATTTATTTATTGTCTCCTAAAGATATGCATAGTGTTCAATTATATGGTATTTGCCATAGTTTAATGTGCAGTTACTTTAGTTTTCAATCTTGCTATTGCAAATACTATTCATATCTGTGAACATACACCATATCCCCTCTGTGCCATGATACCTTGCACACATCTTGCACTCATGTGGAAAAGCTGCATCCAATCATCAAATAATATGTGCGTTGGCAATTTTGATGGACATTATCTGACTGTGCTTCAGGTGGGATAACCTTAGTGGTGTTTTTTTCTGTCTTTTTTTCTTTCTTTCTTTTTTACCTTAACTGTATTGACCACACATAGGATCCTGGCTAGATTCCTACCCTTCCTTATTTCTGAATTCTCTGCTACAGGTATGAGGCAAAATTAGACAATCAGTGAAATGTAGAGGAATTCACACTGGCTTGCTAGATTCCAAAATATCACTTTTGGGGTACAGTTAATGGTGTTTGGCAAAGGAGCATGCTAGGGTCAGGTGGGAGAAGGAAGGGGCTGAGTGGAGAGCAGGGAGAAGGAGCCAGCAGTGGCCTTCTTTTGTGTACCTCAGAGAGAACAAAATGGTCCAAAATACCTGAGAGGAGTCTGGAGATTGAGACTGAGCTGCAGGGTGGTTGGTACAGGGGTGAGTAGTAGGAGATGAGGCCAGAGGAGGAGAGAACCTGTGCTTGATGCAAGACCTCCAGTAGAATACAATCTCTAAATCAGGATGCTTTACTTGAGGGTGGAGGAGGTGGGGGCTAAAAGTAATTAACAGGCATCAATTGATCAACATCGAGTCTAAACTAAGATGTATGATCACTATTTATAGGACAAGTTAAGGACTTTTGAATTGATCCCAACAACAATGGGAATCCATGGAAGAATTTTAGGCAGAGAAGTCAAAGAACAGATTTACATTTTATAAAGATCTCTTTAACTTTGTGTGACAGCCAAACAAGCCGATTGTTACTGGGCCCATGCATAGATAGTTTCCATCCCTGCCACCAGGCTACTTGGTTCCTCTGACCAATTTGCTGGCACTGAAGTGTCTAATACTAAGGCTGGCTGACAAAAACTGGCAGAATCATTATTGTTACTTAGTTGCTTGGAACTCCTGTGGTGTACTTACTGGTGAACGTTAACATGTAATACAAAGATTTTCACACTTTGTGGCCACTCATCTGCCCATCCAGGTTTCTTGCAAGGACCCCAGAGCATGCAGGAAAACACTCTAACCTCACCTCAATTCCACCGAGAGCATCCCGAGTCTAAGTGGAATTTTGCAATCATTCCATGGAAACGAGGTTCTCAACAGTAAGTGAGCTTCTGGAACCCGGATTGGACTTAGAGGGATGGGTCTATCCCGCGCTCTGCGAACCTCTGGCTTTGCATTGATCTTGCAGTGGGAATGCCCCTGAGAGGGAAGACCATTGAACAAGGTGGCTCCGAACCGAGAACCTGAGGTCTTCCTGGGATCAGGAGGTGGGAAATGGTCAAAAGAGACAGGTTACTCAGTAGGCTCAGCTCTCCCTGAAGAATCTTGTCTTATGCATCTCCCTTCCCTACCGTCCCCTTATACTTCTCTCTCTCTTCTTTCCCAAAAGCCATGCGATGTCTGAAAGTATTGTCTGGCAGTAAGTAAATTGCTGGAGACTGGTAATGTCCACCAGAGTGGCCATGGAACCCTGGGTCTACAAGCAGAGACCGTTTCCTTGTAGAAATCCCGAAGGGCCTCTGGGGAAAGCCTGCAGTCAGTACTTCGGATTTGGAAGAGTGCAGAGACTCCCCAATCCCGCCCCCTAATCCACCGTGAGGTGGTCGTCTTTTTCTACTGACACCACAGCTAACATGCAAGGGGTAAGATACTTGAGGCTTGAGAGCGCATGAAGGATCCTGTGACATTGCAATTCTAAAGATTTCCACTAGAAAGTTCATCCAAGGAAACGTCAAAGTGCAAAGCACAGGTGGTTTCCGCGCGGTTTTGAACCGAAGACCTTTCACATGTAAAGCGAACGTGATAACCACTACACTAGAGAAACCTGAACAGGTATGCCATTTCCCTCACTAAAGGAGTATTCAATGTTTCTGACTGCTTCAGCTTTGATACCGTGAAATTGATTTTTCTTATCAAAAAATTATCAAGGTTAGTGCGATTCTCTATTTGTTAAAAATCGATAATATCGGAGTCTACAAGTCACACCAAAAATATGCTTTGGGGAAAAATTCCTTTTCAAATAGTGCAGAAATTTTAGGAAGCCTCGAGATAGGGTACCTTTCAAAAAAGTTCTTCATTTTGTCCTATTCTAGTTTATCTGAACGTAGAAGGCTCTGTGATCTCCATCTCTTGGGAGCCAGAAAATGATCCCCAGAAAATAACCGGAAATTGGTAGACTGAACTCTAGGAAACTGCCCTCCCTTTGTCCCGGGCAGTGTTTGACAGAAACTGAGGGACAGGGAGCCGGATGTACCCAGTTGTCTGCCAGGCAGGGTGAGGACTGGGAATGAGGAAGGGAGGGTCGGGCTTTGTATGACTGGGCTAAGTGTCTAGAGCATCGAAAGAACCCAACGACCCACCGATGTGGAATGTGCATGCTCAGTTTCTGATGTCCGTTATTGTTTTACAGCACGGGAGGACCACTGGGATAAAGAAAGGCAGACCGCGACTCACCGGGGTCTTGCCTGCTGCCTGTGGAATGGCAACTGGAATCATATTTTCAGACCTCATCTGTGTCCAGAACCCGGATTCAGGGGAAGGCAGCGATTCGCACAAAGGCGATTTGAGGTCCCGATTTGAGGTCGGGAAAGCTGAGGCCAAAAGGCGGGAAGGCTACTGAATGTATCCAAGCCTGGCCCTGGGCACGGAGGGCAAGGGAGATTGGAAGACTCTCAGGGCATCATCGCAAAGAATATGAGACCCTTCAGAAATCCTTATGATACAAAATTGCATCTCCAAGTTGGGTGGTGCCTGTTCATCCAAGACTGAAAAGAGAAACAAGCATCACACCCAGATTGTGTAGATTCCAAGAACCAGACCTGTGTGCCTTGTGATTCATTTGCATAATTCTTATTTGCTTACAATTGTATAGTAAAGTGACAACAAAAAAGAGAAAATTTTCTCTCTTGAATACTACATATATTATGCCAAGATTGTGCTGCCCTTAACAGTTTCACATTTGTGTGGGAGTGTTATTTTTATAAATTAGTGAATTTTTTAATGAAAGCTTGTGGTCAGGACCACTTCTCACATCTCCACCTAAAATTTATTTTCTTTACATATTTATACTGGAGAGCAATGAATGGTGTGTGTGGATCAGTAAATTAACATCTACATTCTTTCTGAATTTACATTAGAAAAATAACTTGCATGTTTTTAGTCTGTTCTCTATTGCTTATAACAGAATATCTGAAACTGAGTAATTAATAAAGAAAAGGAATTTATTTCTTAGTTACAGAGGCTGAAAAGTCCCATGTTGAGAGGCCACAACTAGCTGGTGTCCCCAGGTGGTGCAGGGAATGGGGGAAGGTAGGGGGAGCAGGAGGAAAGGACTGAGAACTCAGTCTTTCTTCCTCTTCTTACATAAGCCACCAATTCCACTCCCAGGATAACCCATTAATCCATTAATCAATGAATGGATTAATCCGTTCTTGAGGATTCTGCCCTCCATCATCCAACTACCTCTTAAAGGCCCTACTTCTCAATACTGCAACATTAGGAATTAACTTCAACATGAGTTTTGGAGGGGACAAACTGTAGCAACCTCGAACATACTTTTAAATAAATGATAATTTTTTGTCATCACCCTCTGACAGAAATCACGTTCTGACCGTCAACTGGGCACAACTCACCCCCTACCTCCACTCAGTAGTGTCTTCTAGACAAGCATTGACTTCACAGAAATTTAGGTGGACTCCAGATCTCAGTATCTGGGGACCTTCTGGCTCCTCAAGATCAGGAAGAGAGATGGAAATCAAAGCCATAGCATAACATCAAAGAGTTCCTTGAAATCAAATCACCTCAGAGCTTAAGGTTACCCTGCCTTGCACTGGGGAAGAAATTTGAACACTAGTTGTAAGTTGTATTTGCTTATGAGTAATGGAGTTTCTATATTATTAATTTTAAGAGATAGAAAGTATGAGGGAAAGAATTATACTGTGTGTAAAAATATACTAAAAAGAAAAACATATTAAAAGTTATTAGGTTCGAATATATCCAAAAATTACCATGTCATTTTGCTTTGAATTGCCTGATTACAGTAGGGAGTTTTTGTACTGTAGTGGTTAGGCTTCTGCCTGCCTTTGCCTAGCATGCTAGGGGGCTCTGGTTTAAAACAGGTGGAAACAACGGGTTTTCAAAAAAAATTTGTCTCACCAACACCTTTTTCCAGTCCGAGGCTGGTGTTTTTCTCTCTCAATAGTCTTTTGACGAAATTAATGTTTAATTTTGACAAAGTCCAACATTTCAATCGTTTTTTTTAATGCTTAGTGCTTGTTATGTCCAGTCTACACAGTAGTTGCCTATGTCAAAGGTAAGTACTTTTTCTAAATTTTCTTCAACAGTTTGTTTTCACTTTCACTTTAGGCGTAGGAGCAAACGATTTGAACAGGCACTTCAGGGAAAACAATCAAATAGACACTAAGCAACTGACAATCAAAACAAACAATAACAAAAAAAAAAAAGAAAGAAAAGAAAAAAAAGGACAAACAAACGAAAAATGAGGAAATGAGGGGCAACGCTACCAGGTATTATCCATCTATGGCAAACCCTTTTTTTCCCCTTGCCAGAATTATTTTCAGAAACCTTCCGCACGTGATTTGTGTGAGGAGAAAGTGGGATGAAATGTAGTGGGGGATGGTGGGGATGACTAAGAAAAGTTTCCTGTCTCCAGGAACTGCACGAAGATCTCTTGAACAGAGAAGACTGCTTAACCTCACTCTCCTTCGCTGCTGTTGCCACCATCCTGATCACTACCAGCACCGATTACTTGCAGGGACTTAGTCCGCAGCCCGCTCTGATCTGTCTCTTTCTGCTCAAGTGTTTCCCGAGTGGGATCAACTCTGAGCCTCATCTTTCCAAAGAAGCCCCGGCGGCGCGCAGGGATCTGGAGTCCGACTCCCATTTTCAGACCGAGTTTTCCTTGGATCGCGCGGTCACTTGTTGCCAGAGTTGTCAGTTGACCAACTGTCACTAAAGCCGCTGCTTCAGTGAGTTTAATTTTAGGCACAGAACAGTTCTGACTGGGTTGGGTAAGCTTAGGGTGAGTTTACGTGTGTGTGTGTGTGTGTGTGTGTGTGTGTGTGAGAGAGAGAGAGAGAGAGAGAGAGAGAGAGAGATATAGAAACAGGTCTATGGGACAGACAGACACGGAATCTGGCATTGGAGCCCTGGCAGGCAGAGTATCTAGAGTTGCTCGTGCAAGACATTTCCAAGGACTCAGCTCAAGGTGCCGGCCCATCCGGCAGAGACGTCCGGGTTGCAAGGAGGGAGCCCTGCTCTTCCCAGAGTCAGAACTGTGCACAGCGCGCTCTGAATTTGCGGGCTGTTTGAGGGATTTTTCTGAAACGAGAGGAGGAGAGAATGGTTTAACAGTATATTGAATTAGTGGGGTCTTTTTTAGTCACAGATTTTTATTTTAAAAAACCCTCAAAATATGGAATGTAGTATTTCTACTTGATTGAGCACAAGGCTGGAAAATGAGTGCTGCCACCTCCCTAGTCCAAATTCAGGGAAATTACTCTAGATTTCAATGTCTTAACTCCTAGTGCACCTGCAGAGCCCAACACTAGGGAGGCAGCAGAGAAATGAAATTCTAGCTGGGGCACCCAAATTTGCTGGGATCTCCACCTTAGCAGACCAAGGGGATCCATACCATCCAAATTCTTGTATTCTCAAGTTGTTTGGGGAAAATTTAGCTCGTTTTACTTAGAGATTAGGTCAAATTGGATCTCAGAGTCTGTGTACTTTGAGAGGACAAAGGGATAAAGGGCAGAAACTGGCACTTTCAGAGCTGATTAATATCTACAAATTTTATAGCTATTTTATCATATAACCCTTAATATTATGGTCTGAAGTCCTGTCCATGGCAAAGTCTTATATCTTCAGCCTCATTTCATACCTCACTGCCCCTTTCTGTCCAACCACATTGTCCTACTTGCCAATCAGTCTTTTTTATTTACTATGGGCCTGAGTATATGTTGCGGCCCGATTGCAGAATGGGGGATGGACACAGAAAGAAACACACAGACACGTACAAGACGTATAAGACTGTAGTAGTCAATTCTACCAGTCAATTCTACCTATTCTATTCGTTTTATTATATACTTTTTCTATGTCCGGCAGCTACTTCCTGGTATGTGACTATCTTGGGCGCCTTGAGGAAAACACATTTCCATTCCTTCCAGACGATTGCTTAAGGGAAGCAGATGTTTGCATCTTAACTTCTTGCATCTTAACTTCTTTATCTCGTTACCATATGTAGGACAATGAGACGCCTTGGCTTGTTTGCAAGACCCCAGGCACTTGGTTATCTGTCATAAAGCTATCTGTCATGAGGAATAGTTCTGTTTGGTCAACAGGCCGTGCCTATTGACCTCTAGCGCCAAGGAGAGCACACCCAGTTTCGCTGACTCTGGGCTTAAGCCAATTTTTGCCCAGGGATGGTCCTTACATCTCCCCCTTTTTTGTTTAATTTTGAGATCGAATATGTTTAAAAACTGTCATGATATTTTGATGGCATTGATCACTCTTTATTTTCCGGTAGCTCCAGCATCTCTAGACTAGAAATAAACAAATCATGAAAACAAATAGAATTCCAACATTAGTTCCTATGCCATTAAGGAAAGCCTGAAAAGAAGTTAAGGGATTAACTTGAGCAAGCCCATTAGCTAGACCTTGGAAGAAATCTCATTAAAATCCTCGGTCCTGATTCTCTTTGCCATGTCGCCACTTGAGACAGCGAGTGGGGACCCACTCACAGCCCTGCCCTGTGGAGACATAAGAATAACCTTGACCCCATTGTAGAACCTCTCCTTCCCTCCACTC